ATAGATTTCAGCTTATGATAACAGACAGAACTGTTTGTAAGCTCGTCACGGTATGCACTGTGAGGTTGCTAATAGTGTGAATCTTTTGTAGCTGCCTCGAGCAACGTGGAACTACACCAAACGGTCGTATGGATGATAACGGTGTAGCAAAAAATCGGAATACGTTCATACATGGAATTAGAAAAACGAATTGTTTTGCACGTCAACGGTAATTATCGTGAGATCGCAAACAGTTTGAACCGCTTTTAACTACCTAGAGCAACGTAGAATTGCACCGAACAATCATACGGAAGAGGATGGTATAGCACAAAACCGGATTTTGTTCAAACATGTGATTGCGAAAAGAATTGTTCAGTGGCGCCAACGGATGTATATCGCTTGCTTGCAAATGATGTGTCCTGTTCGGGGCCAGCCAGGCCAGCACGCAACAGCTCCATTTTGATGATGGAATGTTCTGGTACTGACCAGCTAATATCCATGGAAATATATAACCGCTATTGTATGATATCATATTCAAGTCCGCTTATCTACGGTTGTAGATTGACTTGCTTTATTTTGTTACTTAAATTAAGCCAAATAAATTTTCAGTCATTTCATTCGATTTAATTTTTCGGCCTTTTCACCAGATTTTTAAAGGCTATAGTCAGGTTTTTTCCAAAAAAAAATGACTTTTTTAAAAGTTGTTCAGATGACCACTATTTTACTGAGCGAGTAAAATCTCGAAAGTTCGAACCGAGTTCTTTATATTTTTGAATTGACGGCAGTGGCAAAATTGTTTGTGCAAAGATTAATTACGTTAATATAGATTTCAGCTTATGATAACAGACAGAACTGTTTGTAAGACCACTTGTTTACTAAGCGAGTAAAATCTCGAAAGATTGAACCGAGTTCTTTATATTTTTGAATCGACGGCAGTGGCAAAATGGTTTGTGCAAAGATTAGTTACGTTAATATAGATTTCAGCTTATGATAACAGACAGAACTGTTTGTAAGCTCGTCACAGTATGCACTGTGAGGTTGCTAATAGTGTGAATCTTTTGTAGCTGCCTCGAGCAACGTGGAATTACACCAAACGGTCGTATGGGTGATAAGGGGGTAGCAAAAAATCGGAATACGTTCATACATGGGATTAGAAGGACGAAATTTTTTGCACGTCAACGGTAATTATCGTGAGATCGTAAACAGTTTGAACCGCTTTTAACAACCTAGAGCAACGTAGAATTGCATCGAATAATCGTATGGAAGAGGATGGTATAGCACAAAACCGGATTTTGTTCAAACATGTGATTGCGAAAAAGAATTGTTCAGTGGCGCCAACGGATGTATATCGCGTGCTTGCAAATGATGTGTCCTGTATGGGGCCAGCCAGGCCAGCAAGCAACAGCTCCATTTTTGATGATGGAATGTTCTCGAACTGACAAGCTAATATCCATGGAAATATATGACCGTTATTGTATGATATCATATTCAAGCCCGCTTATCTACGGTCGGTGATTGAATTGCTTGCTTTTGTTACTTAAATTAAGCCAAATAAATTTTCAGTCATTTCATTCGATTCAATTTTTCGGCCTTTTCACCAGATTTTTAAAGGCAATAGTCAGGTTTTTTTCAAAAAAAAGTGACTTTTTTTAGAAGTTGTTCAGATGACCACTATTTTACTGAGAGAGTAAAAGCTCGAAAGATTGAACCGAGTTCTTTATATTTTTGAATCAACGGCAGTGGCAAAATTGTTTGTCCAAAGATTAGTTACGTTAATATAGATTTCAGCTTATGATAACAGACAGAACTGTTTGTAAGCCAGTCACGGTATGTACCGTGAGGTTGCTAATAGTGTGAATCTTTTGTAGCTGCCTCGAGCAACGTGGAACTACACCAAACGGTCGTATGGGTGATAAGGGGGTAGCAAAAAATCGGAATACGTTCATACATGGGATTAGAAGGACGAAATTTTTTGCACGTCAACGGTAATTATCGTGAGATCGTAAACAGTTTGAACCGCTTTTAACAACCTAGAGCAACGTAGAATTGCATCGAATAATCGTATGGAAGAGGATGGTATAGCACAAAACCGTATTTTGTTCAAACATGTGATTGCGAAAAAGAATTGTTCAGTGGCGCCAACGGATGTATATCGCGTGCTTGCAAATGATGTGTCCTGTTTGGGGCCAGCCAGGCCAGCACGCAACAGCTCCATTTTTGATGATGGAATGTTCTCGAACTGACAAGCTAATATCCATGGAAATATATGACCGTTATTGTATGATATCATATTCAAGCCCGGTTTTCACGACAGGTACGATTATAATGTAAGCTGCCTGATTTCCCAATTTCTCGAATAATGTACAAACAATCACTGCAGTGTGCTAAGTGTAATGTTACGCTTTCCGTAATCGTAGCGGTCGTCGACCTCGGCATGCACCGTGCCATACGATGGCCGCCAAAACGAAGTCTTCCAGGCGGAAAAAACGTCCGGTGATCCTACCTTTTTCTTTGTACCCATGGGCACTTTACTGTCCAAATCAACGAAAGTGATGTACGATCAAAGCATCGACTCATTCTACCTTGAGCTAACGGTTAAAATGTGGGATAAAGATTATGCCGAACAAATAAAAGCTTATATTAGGAAAGAGACAGCTCTTCCACTGCCATTCAAGTGGAATATTCCTTTGGGAGTCAACATGCTCAAACACCCTGGGAGCCGATTACCAGTCTTCCGCAAACATTGGTCTTTCGCATCCGCTGCGCAACGAGTGCTGGCTGGAACGAAGCGCAACCTGTACTACAGAACGGAACTGATACCACCTTCACGGCGCGTTTGCATTTTGCTTATCGATAAGAAATATTCAAAGTAAATAATTCGCACATTCCAGTGCCCTATTTTTGCTTTTTACATCGACCCAGAGTTCCATGATTTTTTTCAAAATTAAAAATGAATTTTAAAATTTTTGAAATTCATTTTAAAATTTGAAAAACATGCTAGAACAGTGGATTGGTGTAAAAACGATCTTCATGGCCATGTGCACTTACGTGCGAAATTCGAGAGAGATTGGTTCGTAATGAGACTTTTGGTACGCCTGAATGCATTTAAACTTTTTGGAATTTTCTAAGAGTCATAACACTCGAACCGGATGTTGCGCGCACAAACGGTTTTCACGCCTGTGTGTGCAAATCATCTGCCTACAGAATGTCATAAAACAAAAGAAAAAAGGGTTTGGCAGTGCGCGAAAGTGAAATATTTCCTGCATGTACACGATTTTGGTACCATGTACCGGGCCACTACCCTTAACCCGTTGACGGGCATTGGTGTCTGGAAACGACAAGGTGTTATGAATTTTTTCCCCAGCGATCGGCTACAGTTATTCGCTATCCCTTAATGTAATAAGCAACAAGGGACTTTAAAGCAGCGTTAAAAACATAATCTGAACTAGTGTCTCAAGTCAATTAAGAAAAACGGGTGCGCAAAAATCACTAATTTCAAACTTTTTAAGCTGTCGTAGGTCGTGCTAATTAACTAATTAGCGAATGAACAAATAAACCGAAGATAAATCAACAAGCTGCAATTGATAGCTCTTTATTCAAAAATATTTAATATGGGTTCTTCAAGTTGAACCGTAGACGACCACAGTCCGTCAAAAACTTGTGTCGTCTGCCAACGCCAATGCCCATGAAGGGTTTCGAATACATGGGCGGGTGCGATTTCGACAGCTGTTTTTTATTATGTAAGTGGATCAAGTTACCGCCGGTTTGGATGCAAAACATGCGCCACGCAGTTCCGGTTGTCGCAAGCTGGCATAAAACGCTTTTTTGACTAACACCCTGGGCGGTTGGCAACAAAGCAAACATTGCTTTAAAAGTTACGAGTACTTAACATTTCCGAATAACAAAATGTTCAAGGACACACTGTTAAGTGGCTGCGCAACACTACACTCTGCCGCGTTTCTACCTACGATTCTGATGTATAGCTTGTGCAAGCAAGCGATTGCGCCGCGAGGCTTTAAAAAAATGCAAATTCTGGGTTTTGATAAGCTTGAGCGATCGCAAATTACAGCGATTGCGAACTGTTATGAGCACATTGCGACATTGGCGATTTCGACCTTTGCGGCCGGCAGCCTGTGCAGTGGCGCGTTTAAAGGAGGCTCCCGGGACCAAAACCCCCCCCCCCCGTAAACTACAGATTCGGGTACTTCAAAATGCACAAGAGTTTGCCCTTTGCCCTTTGAAAATTTTAACACATATATTTCCCGTTTTCCAACATACTCCGCCTTTGGTAAACCTTTCGTGGTAGCTACAAAACTTGAGAATTCACTGTAAATCGTGTCAGCAGAAGCACTGTGCTTTGAGGGACATAGGAAAGTGCATAAATGTAGCACTTAACCGATGAAAGGTGACAGCAGCTGCCGGTGAGTACGGTATCAAGATGCCTGCCATGGACGTTACATAGTAGGATCAGTAGTAGGCACACCGTCCATTACTCTACAGGTTAATTTTTCCATCCGCGCTAATTTTAGCTCTACTCAAATGAAGCTCCGCCTCGAAATCGTGACGTTTACAGCTAAACTGCTTGAGCCAAGACGATAACTCAGCGAGTTACCGTATCGAGTTCGCTCGTGAATTTCTACCTGTGGGCATTGGAAATTTTAAACTGCATCAGATTGCTTAATCAATGCAGCATCAGATTTCCACCGTCAACTTGCACTTAGCAGTTGCTGTGCCTGCGCGTTACTGCTGAAAAGTTTCAAAAATTTATTTTCAAATTTTAAGTTTTTACGAGTTCGCTGATGATTTATTCGTGATTTGTTGTCATGGAATCAGTTATACCGTGCACGCAGTCCTTTGAAGATGGCTTTTCTTCCCAGCCAACGGTAGTGCAAGTCGAAATCGCAAAGCACAGAACCCAGACAAGACATCGATGGACATCTGCAGAAGACATCAGGCTGCTGCGCCAGTATTTATGCACAGTAAAGGACCACACAGGAAAGGCTGACGAACTGTGGCTCAAGATGCACCAGCGTCTTATCGAGTTCGAGCCGCTGAAGGATATATCTCAGCGTGCAGTGCGAGAACGAAGCCTCAAACTAATTGCAGAATTTCGGAAATCAAACAGGCTCAACGAGTGGCGCACTGGAGATCCGGGAACCTTCAAAGAGCAAGAACAACTGCTGTGCGAAATTCTCGAATTCGAGGCCGACGCTGCTAAACGCGCATCTACGCAAAAGCCGCAGACGAAGGAGATGGAAAAGCAGGCGCGTAAAGACATGAAGTTTCAGGTGGCAGCAAAACACAGCATGAAGAAGCGAAAGCGCTTGTTGGAGGCTCCTGAACCAAACTCCGACGAACCGATTGGTAAGAGATAACATATGTTTATTGCAACGTTTTCGAGATCATTTTATGATAAATCATAATATTTAATATATTTTTTATTTATTCCTGTTTGGTATGTTCTATCACAGCTGTCGAAATCGATTTTTTTGTCGTTTAAAAATATGTAGATAAATAATGTCATTGTTTTCTAGATGAATTTGATGCCCGTGTGAACGGATACGGTCCCTTCGCCCCGGACGACGATACTGGAAACAGTGGTCGACTCCCCAAGCGTGAACGGATGAGCTGGAACGGAATGGTGCAGAATTTTTTGTCGGACTCGAAATCGATGCGAGACAAAGAATTGCAGTTAAAAGAATCAGCGTTAGAACTGGAGAAAAAGAGAGAAGAACGACTGGCCGCAGAGCAGACTATGAAACTCGAAATTCGAAAAGGAAAACTAGAAGTTGAAAACAAGAAGGAAGATAAACGCTCTGAGGAGTTATCTCATTACGGTGGTTAATACTAAAGTCAGAGATTAGACCGTAGTTTTCCTTTATTTTTTTAATAGTTTTTCTTGACTTTGTATCTGGGTATTTGGTATTTACGAAAAAATTACTGCGAATTATTTTCCCAAGCTAACCTTTGTGATTCAGCATTTTTGAAATAGGCTCGCGGAGATTTTAATTTACTTATTCACAGGATGTCACCGAAATATTCGATATTAATTTATTGCTAATTAACAAAGGTAATTCCACAGAAGACAGACAAACTAATCTCTAATATTATTTAGGTAAACTTCCAGTGTCGGAGGCGCTAGACAAAAATAATCAGCGACTTTTCCCCCATACCCCAAACAAACACGACAATTCAGAAGTAAAGTTCCAACTGTGTAAAGCAGTCTAACTGGCTGCACAAATATTTTAAGATTTTTCCGGAAATCGAGGAAAGCAAACTGTTGGACTACTTCTCCAAATCCCCATTCAACTGCGATGCGATATGCTGACATGGCTTCGTTAAAATCGAACTCGATCTGGGTTGTTGCTGGCTTAAACGGACCCTCGAGATACGCTGAAATCGGATAAGCAGGGTCTCCATAGAGGCAAAAAATTTTCCCCATTTGCTCCATTTTTGTTTCCAGCGCACGTAATAGGCCACTGTCCGCTAATATGCCTGAATCGTGTCTACGTCCAACCCAAGGGCCATCAAGATTTATCACAATGCCGTTAGGGGCCATGATGCTCTGAAATTTGATGCCATGAAGACGATAGTGGCCACTGTATACTGTTCTGTGATCCTCACCAGGACGACAAGTTGGGCGGAATGTACCGTCTATGAAGCCCCAGACGTCATCCAGAGGACATCCTTTTCTGTACACGGCAGCCGCGAATTCGTCCATATCTGCTCGTGCAAGCCAACAAAGGTCCAGTGTGGTTAAAAGATGACCGAACTGCGCGTTGATAAATTCACACATTCACGTAAATATCATCGATAATTCAGGTTTCGATCTCCCAAAAATGTGCTTGATGTCAGTGTAGCGATTAGGGTACGAAGCAAGTGTCCCTTAAATTAATAGACGCGTTTTGCCTTACCATAAATTGACAACCTAGACCGCAATGTGCGAACCTGTCAGCCACCATGGGCTGGCAGCGTATAATACAAACGGTTGACTGCATTGCTGCCATTGACTTAACGTTAAAGTAAGTTGGCACTCACACTTGCAAAAACCTCAACCGAACCCACAAACTTACGTTCCAAATGGTGGAAAAAAAATCAGGGAATTTTTTGATACCTAGCAAGTAAGTTTTCATGGCAAGCAAGGAAAGTTATGAACGTTTGTGATTCCTCGTAGACATAGCATAAGGTTCGTGCGAAGAGCCGTTGAAGAGGATCGTATGCTATGTCTACGAGAAACCATAAACGTTCATAACTTTCTTTGCTTGCCATGAAAACTTACTTGCTAGGTACCAAAAAATTCCCAAATTTTTCCTCCATCATTTGGACTGTTAGTTTGTAGTTGTGATTGAAGTTAAGATGAGTAAATGTCGATTCAGTTAACGTCGAAGTCAATGGGAGCAATGCAGTCACCATTTGTGTTACACGCTGCCAACCCATGGTGGCTGCCAGGTTCGCACAGTGCAGTCAAGGTTGTCAATTTATGGTAAGGCAAAACGCGTCTATTAATTTAAGGGACACTTGCCTCTTACGCAAGTCGTCGCAGCAAAACACACAAGGCTTCCATACCATCATAACGGGATCCGTTTTCGAGGCGGATTATTTCGGGGACCTGCAATGCCTGAAATAGTCGTTCTAAATGCTCCCTTCGAAATCGAAACCATTCATAAACATCTGTGTCAGAGAGCTGGTCCAAGTTTAGAAGAACCCGAAGCGGTCCTCCCACATTGCAGATGCATAAAAACTCAGCTTTCTGCTGATCAGACAGAATGTTTGATACCAAAACCAAAGAAACAGTTTTTTGTCCATGATGCAGGGTATAAAAATTCAATTAACAAATAAGAACTTCTTTTCGAAATCGATATTAACAATTTTGATTAGTGATTCACATGTTCCGTATCACAAGCAAAACGCGCAATGCGCGTAGCGCTGTGTAAAAACTTAACAAGTTTGCACTTAGCGCCAATTTTAGCTCCACTCGTATTAAGCGTTCAGCCATGCGTTCAGCTAATGGAAAAACTTATTCTGTGTACTATTTCTTCTCTTGTGCTTTAGTCGTATACAATCACTACTGTTAGGGATTTGTAGCTAATTTATTTTATCGTTTCCAACAGTGGCCAAAAAAGAAGCCAAAAAATTACTAGTTTTGGTTGAATTTCTATTCTTGCAGTAAACCCGAGTGCCAGCTTCGCGCTCGGCGCGGAAGTGCATTGCTTTTTACCGTACCCGTACAGTACATAAATAATAATTATGTAAAATGAACTTGAAGTCCCTGCTCGCAATATAACCGATGAACATCTCATATTCCACATTACACGTAAGTGTGCAAATTTTACAGTAACTATCTGTAATTCAATGATAAATGAAGCTCCAAGTAGTGCTCGTGCAAGAATCGTAATACCTTTAGTATTTTTTATAGAATTTCTAGTAAATCACGCACCAAAAACGTGCGTCGGCTTCGTGCTTCGCGCGAAAGTTCACATTTTCTATAAACGTTTTACTCGTACATGCCTTACTTCTTGCCCTTCAGCTTTCGCTAGAAGAAAATTTGAATTACTGTATTTCTGATATTTTTTATAGAATTTCTAGCGACTTTCGCAGCAAAATAGCTCGTTGGCTTCGCGCGAAAAATGTCAACCGATTTAAATTTGAACCGTTAAACCGGCCCGCCTAAGCTCGCCTAAGGTCTGCAATGAGATAAATTCCGAACTTAAACTATCTTTCCTAACGGGATTTTTTTAATCCAAATACATTTTAAAAGGCAGAAACAGATACAAATCGCTTAACGTTATAAGAATATTTTATAAAGGGTTCGCCGGCCCACCCGTGAAAAAAGTTCTAGACGCGCCACTGAGCCTGTGCATTCCCGGCCGGCAATGCATTCGAAAAAGGGCTGGCGTGTGTGATTTGGCGCCGATCACCACTGCAGCTGAACCATCCACGCAGCTTTTCCGATTCTGGCAACTGCGGGCCTGCGGCCGCACCCAAAAAAGTGCATGCGCGGACCATGCAAGAAATGCAAAGGCCGCTTGACGTGCCAGACGTGCAGCAATTGCAATGATGAAATGTTTGAAGAGCGTTACGCAAAGTGCCATATGGGAGCGTAATGAAAGTTTTAAGAAAGAATATTGCTAGCTTCGCTTGTTTCTGTGTTTTTTAACATGTAGTAGTAATCAAAATTCATAAAAACGCGTTTAGGTAATTTTTAATGTTTTGCTGACCAGTGGTCAATATCCTGACCACTGCTATACCCCTGTTTTAAAGTACTTTTTCTGTGCTTTTTAATGAAGTTATTGCTTTTACGTAATTTTTGTTCGCCTAGTTATTACAACATTAATAATTTTTATGCTGTAGACCGTCCATGGGCATTGGCGTTGCCAAACGACATAGTCACCACTGCTGACCTATGGTCAGCACAAGCTCACAAGAGATTTCCTTTCTTATTGAATTTTTTCATCGAGATCCTGATTTTCAACAGGAAACTCTTACTCCTTCGGCTACCGCCCGCTGGAGGGTTAAGACAACGGCCTAATATACTCTTTTCGAAACTATCGCAAGCCCAGATGCAATTGCACGTCTTACAAACGGAATTCTATTTACAGGTTTGATCCAATTACGATATTCATTGACATTGCGTTGAACTATTCATTTTTATTAATAATCTTTGCACAGTTCAGGTATAAAGGAGAGTTACATTGCGTTTATCTGTACAGCATCGTAGTGCAAAGGCTTCTACAGATTTAGTGTCCAGTCTATGATGATTAATGCATGGAATTTAAATTCTCAAACATAGCACGAAGCCATCGTTCAATACTATCGTTCCTAATTTCAAATTTTTTCCCTCAGTCAAAACAGAAATAGAAACCCAGCGCAGCCGAATTAATTAATTCGGCTGATTAATCAGCCGCGTCCAAATGAGCTAAAATTGAAACCTTTGCCTCTTGACATTCTGATCAATATAAAATCGAGATCAGGACCAGTCAATAATGTCTCCAGCAGTAAAGGATCGATCCCGTTTCCCCGAATTATGAAATGTACTGCGCTGCTCCCTCTAACTGAACCTGCGCACCGGAAATGCCATTACTGCAAGTCTGCAACTAGGCGCCATCTGGAAAGCGCAATATCTTCGAAATATTGGATGCGTTACGCGGCAACACCGGCAGTTTGCCGTTCCTCAACAGATCTCTATTCGCATTTGCTTCCTGCACCCATTTTTGCGTACGGTGGCAATTTGCCGTTCTGCAGAAGGTCAATTTGAGCGGCAAACAACCATCGTCGGTTTTTTCTCTGCAGCTTGACGGTAGAAAATTTTATCTCGTACCGGTTGCAAGAAATTGCCACGTTTTCTTATGTATTCGGCACGTTTTTGCTCAGCCAATTTATTTAATAAGAAGAACATAATAAATTGTTGCGGTTAGCGCTAGACTGTGTAATGGATTTGCGTAATTGAAAATTCAAGCTGAAAAAGTGCTGCCACACATCAGTTTCGTTTATAACTCATGCAGTACTTGACATATTCCCATTCCACCGGATCTCTGAATCTGCACTGGTATTTCTCATATATTCAAGTAAATGTTAAACCAGGCCTTTCGAAACCTGATATGGATTTTGCTGCTTGGAAAGCAAACAGGAATAAAAAATATCTCTGCCAGAATTGTGTACCAAACAGCGATTTAACTTTTCTCTTCTTCAGAATCGAAATTATGTATATGTTACTATGGCGTCTTTCCAGCCGTTATAGTAAGCATTTGTCAACTAAACTTGAGTACCATAAAACGTGAATTGTGTACCATAAAACGTTCTGACAGCAATTCCCTGTCTAACAGGGGATGAACGGCTAGTTCACCCCTGTGCGCGAACAGAAACGGAAACTGAACGCCAACACACTGCACACTTTATCTCTCTCACATACAACATATCAGAGGCCACAGCAGCACCTTGCTGCGGGGCAAAAAGGAAAAAGCATCCAGCTCAGACGCCGAAATCCAGCAACTAACGAATCTACCAGATTTCGAATCTGGTAGATAGAGAAAAACACGGCAAAAACAGGAAAACAATCTAGCTGCCGCCTGTGCGCGGGTGAACGGAGAGGCGACTCCTCCTCACACCTGTAAATGAGATTTCCGACTTTTTTCGTGGCGCGTTCGGCATAAAGAAACCATGCTGTATAGACGGTACCATTACCAGGTACGAGAACTAAAACCTAACGAATGGCACCGTTTACAACTGGCTCCGGTGTGAATTCGGCTATCGCGGTATATTTGGCTAATGTGCTCCACACTTGATGCGGACCAACCGGACCTGCTGCTCGAGGGTACTCCAACCTTTTGGCGCTGCATTCAGCATTATTCAGTGAAAGCGTTTGACCACTTATTGGTGTGAGGCTTGCCACGGGTGAATTTGAAATTGTAATTAAATTATATTACAATCAAATATGCTGTACATCATTGTTTGCTTTTAGAATTAGAACAATAAAACGCATTGTAGCGTACGCAAGGCGGTTTCTCGCGCTGGCCGGCACCTGCGCTTACTGTAGATCTTACTTTTTTATGCGCTTCGTGTTTTTTTTCTGTCTGTTCAGCTAAAAAGTAAAAGCCATGAAATTATTATCAGAAAAATCATGATTACCGGAGGTTATCCGAGTTGAGAATGGAATTTGATTATCGAAACGTTTTTGCGGAGTGTGGATTTTTCTTACGGCTTCTGGATTTTTCTTACAGATTCTTCTTGCGCCCTGGCCTCTTTTCCCTACTATACATAATCGGTTTTTGGATAAAAATAAAGCGATTAGTTTATTCA